TGTGACCCGGGCGGGGGTGGGGGGAGTGTGAGGGACTACGAGTGTGAGACAGGGAGGGCGTGAGCCAGAGACGCTGGTGGGCAGGGGTGAGACACGGAGGTGTAGGGTGTGAGAGAGGGAGGGGTGTGAGACGGAGGGGTGTGAGTAGAGGGGGGTAGGAGTGTGAGCCAGAGACAATGGATGGTGGGCATGGGTGAGACATGGAGGTGCAGGGTGTGAGACGGGGTCTGTGAGTGTGACATAGAAGGTGTGATGCAGAGATGATTACAATGGTGTGTGAATAGAGGCGTGTATGAGATAAAGAGGGATGGGGAAGCTGTGAGTGTGTGGGGGGCAAGGAGATGGCAGCAGCATGCCAGAGTGAGAGACAAAGGGGTTGTCTGAGAGACAACAGTGGGTGTTGTGGGGGGGGAGTGAGAGACTCAACGAGGATGTGAGTGTGCACAAGACAGAGAGGGGTGTGTGGGACAAATGGTGGGTGAGAGGGGGTAGGTGTGTGTGTGAGAAACACAGAGGCAAAGGAGGGGTGGGGGGTGTTTGAGCCCGTGTGAAAGCGCTGGTGGGGAGAGGAGTGTGTATCAGAGGGTGTACGAGAGGGATGGGTGTGTTGGGGAGAGAGTGGAGTGTGTGACACAGGGTTTGTGTGAGAGACATGGGTGTGTTCAGGAGAGGCTCAGGGAGAGGAATGAGTGTGACAGGAAACAGAGATGGGTGGGGGCGGGGGCTGTGCTTTAGAAAACCATATCCAGGGGACAGCGCATTTTAGTTACCTAGTTCCAGACCCATTCACACACATCCATTGGGCCTCCAGCCACTCTATGGGGGCAGGTAGTGGGTGAGGGGATACCTGTGCTAGGGGACTGTGTAACATGGGGGGAGCACTTACAGACTGTCTGTGCTGGCTTGTGGGAGTAGTCCCTGTCTCCTATGTCAATGCTGCTGGGGTGTGGCCCATCATAAACCAGCAGGAGCCTCTCCATTATTTCATCAATTGCTTTGGGTTCCCAGGAGGAGCAGGAATAGAGGAGGGGATCCCTGAGGGGGAGAGAGAGTTGGAGAATTGAGAGATGGTTCCTGAGGGGATAAGGATACAGGGGTAGGAAGGAAAAGACAGGAAGCCACAGGAGGAGCGGGGGTTAGTGGGATTGACATAGGAAGGGGGGGCTGTGTTGTGGAAGAAACTGGCTACCAAACTACACCACTGACACACACAGCCCCACCCACCTGTCCCTCTTTATGATCTGTACACACTCTACCAATGAACAGGAACACACACTACATAGATCACACACACAAATACAGTGCATACATTCACACAGTGGGCACAGCAAAAATACACTGTTTAATATGGCCACATGAAAAGTTATCCATCTAGGCATCCAGAATGTAGGCCATCCTGATAGGCTGCGGGCCTCTGTTCCTGGGACAGTGACTCTGGAAAAGATGTGGGGATCATGGAAGCTAATTAGCAGAATGAGCTGCCAGTGTGATATTGTGGCCAAAAGGACTAATGGGATCCTCGGCTGTATAAACAGGAAAATCTCCAGTAGCAGAAGGAGAATTCTATCATCCCCACATGTGGTACCGTTGTGAACATTACTGGGGCCTTGTGTCTAGAGCTGATGTCCACAGATCAGAAAGGAGGCTGATAAATTGGAGAGGAGTGTGCATGGGTTCAGAGAAAAGCCAAGAGAATGGTTAAAGGATTTGAAAATTTATAGCAAGAGACTCAAGGAGCTCAGTCTATTAAGCTTAACAAAGCAAAACTAAGGGGTGACTTGATCACAGTCTGTAAGTACCTGCAGTGGGAGTAGAAATTTGATAACGGGTGCTTAGATCTCATAGACAAAGGTCTAACTATAGCCCAGAGCTGGAAATAGAAGCTGGACAAACTCAGACTAGAAATAAGGCCCACATTTTTACCACTGAAACAATTTACCTGAGTTGCGGTGAAGTCTCTATCACTAGAGTCCCACAAATCCGTGGATATCTGCTTTGTATCCATGGGTAGCTGCAGCCACAGATATGGATGCGGATATTCGCAGCTCATTTTTGTATCCATGCAGGGCTCTATCCATCACTGGTAATCTTTAAATCAAGACCTGATGGGTTTTTTCCCAAGAGATCTGCTGTAGTTCAGCCAGGAATTCATTCAGGGCAGCCTTTGGTCTGTCACATAGGAGGTCAGACTAGATCAAGGGTCTCCAACCTTTTTAAGCACAAGATCACTTTTTGAATTTAAGTGCAATCCAAGATCTACCTCTAACCCAAATACCCTGGCTCCACCTCTTTTGTGCCCCTTCTCCAAGGCCCTGCCCCTGCTCACTCCATCCTCCTTCCCTTGCACCAGGCAGCGGCAGAGGTTTGGGGCACAGGCTCTGGTCTTGGGCCAGGGGATTTGGAGTGTGAGAGGGGCTCCAAGCTGAGCTGGGACAGGGAGTTGGGGTGCAGGAAGGGGTTCAGGGTACAAACTCTGTAAGGGATTTTGGGTCCAGGGGACTCAGGACTTGGGGTGCAGGAGGGGGTTCGTGACTGGGGCAGGGGTTCAGAGCTGGCTCCAGCTGGACTCTGCTTACCTCAGGTGACTCCTGGGTGGTGGTGCAGTGGGGCTAAGTCAGGTTCATGCCTGCCCTGGCCTTGCCCCACTCTCAAAAGCAGCCAGCAAACCCCCTCCATCCCAAGCCCTGTCATGCTATCTCTCTCCCTTATTCTGTGGAGATAGACTACAGGGTGGGAGAGGGGGCGCCCTGACATCAGCACCCCCCCCTTCCCTGCCCTGCACAGAAAGCAGGAGGCTCCTGGGTGGGGGGGCAGCTCCAAGGCAAAGAGCAGGAGCAGCATGGCAGTGCTGAGAGGGGCAGATGAAGTGCTGGCCCTTGATAGCCTCTTGGCCAAACCAGTGAGGATCACCTATCAGAGGCAGCAAGATCTACCAGTAGACACCGATCTACCGGTTGGTGACCACTTAGACAAGATGATGACAGTGTCCTTTCTGGCCCTATACACTAGGAATGTGCACATGCACACACACACCCTATAAAAACTCCTTATACTCAAATGCACACATGTACCCATCTACACGTACACCTGCAACGCACATTGCAAATACTCCCATCGTAGCTAAACACCCAACCCTTGCAAAGCACCCCCCCTTCACAACCACCCCTATACATACACATGGTGCACTGACACAGAGCCAGACGAATGGCTAACAGCGCTACTCTGCTTGGAAACACACAAACACCCCAATGAAATATACACAGCACTCTTACACAAATACACCTCTGCTGCCCCAACAAACATGTACCCTGTACACACACCAGCCATATCTGCAAGCACACACCTGACAGCACCAGGCCTGGCTGTTCTCAGCTGCCTGGTCTCATCACTCCCAATCTCTTGCAGCTTGAGGGGCACTGTCAGAGCTGCAGGGTGGGGCACCCAGGGCTGGGGCATCAGGGAGCTCTGAGTCAGAACTGAAAGCCACTGGTTGATTGTGGGTTGGGGTTGAGGGGCACTGGCAGAGTTGAGGGGAGCCCAACACTGAGCCTTCTGAGCAGTGAGAAGAGCTTGAGGGCCATGGGCACTGAAAAGCCATCAGGTCCCTCGAGATGAGAAATTTCCCTTATATGGAGGTAGGAAATCCGTTTGCAGATTTCTGAGCATGTTTTTGGATTAATTAAATATTCATAATCTGGTGTAATTACATGATGATTCATATGAGCAATAATTTTAATTAGAATGAAATGTATTATTCGAGTTCTGTTTTTCTTTACACCCAACGCCCGCCCGGATGGCTGCCTTCCCCTCTACAACACGGCACAGAACAATCTGTGACAGCATGAGAGCAACCCACCCGCCCTGTCTGACAGGGGAATGGGAGTGTGGAGCAGGCTGGGACACCTGACTGTGACCCACAGCTGCCTGCTAGCCCAGCCCTGAGTTCCCTCTCTATACACATGCAGCTCCACAGGGGCCCCTCAAAGTCACCTGCCCAGCCTGCTGCTATTCCTGCCCCTTCCCTCTGCCCCCCAGCTCAGCTGATGCCCCTGAAATGATTGCAGGGTTCCAAGCAATGGCACTAGAGCAATGTGTATAGTGGGGATGCTTGAAAGCCATTCACTACAACTTTAAACCCTCTGTACAACAGAAGCAACTTCAAGCCAGAGGGTGCTGCCACCCCTACTGCATCCCTATTTCCAGTGCCTCACCTCCACATGGGGAGATAGGGCAGGTAGCTAGGCCAGGCATTTATACATTTCTAGCTTTCCTGCATCATACAACAGGCTTTATTAGTACTATCAGTTTTCCCATAACACTCCCAGCCCCTGCCTCATTCAGTATGCAAGCTGGCCCTTCTCTGGCCTCTGCCTCATTTGTTGTAGATTAGAAGCTGGCTGGTGAGCAGTGAATGAGGCAGGGGACTGTAGAGAAAGGCAAGTCTCATGGTTAAGGAAGCAGAACTGGAATCAATCCCTGTCTCGGTAGCACCTGGCAAGTCACTTAGACCAAAATGCTCAATCATTGTGTAAGTGCCTCGTGCTTGGTGCCTACCTTGAGCCCCTGAGGTCTGATTTGCAGAAGTGCTCCCCACTGCAACTGAATCAATAGGAGGAGGCTGCTCTAGCTGTCAGGTTGCGTGATCTGCAGGGCTGAGTTTGAATCCTGCATCTGCCTTGGCTCACTGGGTGGCCTTGACTGAGTCAGGGCCTCAGGTCCCTTTCTGTAAAACAGGGATCACACTACTCTCCCAGAAAGATAACTGGAAGCAGAATGATACAAATCCCTAGGGGCTATGTCTAGACTGCTGAGTTAAATCAGGAAAAAATATGCAATTTGCAGTGTGCAAATTACATCTTTTTCTGACTTACTTTTGAAAGAGGCTTTTCCAAAATTTGGCACGTCTACACGGCACCACATTTTGGAAAAATGTGCTCTTTCGACACATCCCTTATGCCTCGTAGAACGAGGTTTACAGGGATGGTGAAAGAGCATGTCCGCTTTTTTGAAAAAATGTTTGGAAAAGCAGACACGTTCTTTGGACACGGCATTGCTTTTCCAAGATACCTGCAGTATCCTGGAAAAGCAATGGAGTCTAGACATTGGGTGACCGTGAGCAAGACACCGACTATCTGTGCATCTCAACCTCCCATTGATACAATTTGGCTTAGAACCCTTCCCAGCAGTGTGACTAGACCATACTGAATTCCAAGAGGCCATGGTGAGGGCCTCCCCTGAAAAGGACCCTCGAGGGATGAGGCAATTGGTGGAGCTCAGAGTTAGGGGAGGAGGGAAATGCCACAGAAATGGAATAAACAATTTGATCATTTTCCATTTTGTGAGGTTCAAAGGGGACCCTATTTTTGTCACATTTTCCAGCCAACCACTTTGATTATTGCTTTCTGTGTTTTGGGTGCAGTGAAGAGAAAATGTTATTTCTGCTAAAACATTTGGTAAAAATTGTTGGAAAGTATTGGAAAAATGAGAAATGCGCATGTGTTTGAGAAGATGGACATCTTTCTCTACAGCAAGATTTTCCATTTTTCAAAGTCATTACTCCGCTGTCCCCGAAAAGGCATTTATTTTTCCCTCCAAACCTGAAATTTCAAGCAACCTCCTGGGAAATTTCTGAACCTGGATCTGCCAGTGTCTAGGAGCTGCCAGTGCATAGAATAGGAACATACAGGGTAGCAACAGGGACACATTCCTTCATACCAGTCATCCGAAGCAATGAGCGAGGCATGGCCAGGGGCCAATATGCAATGGTGCCCAGGCTCAGAATTCTATCCCACACCTCACTCTTTGGCATGTTTCCTACGCTCACAAACAGGATGAGAGAATGTCAGCTTGTCAAGGGGTAACAGTTTTAGGGGAGAAGAGTTTATAAACATGACCCTGAAAGGTCCAGGGAGTTCGAGGAAAGAGAAAGAACCTCCCAAGTGAGTATCTTTAACCCCCCAGGATCCTCACTGGCATGAGTGCAGTTTGCAACCAAAGCTGGACTTCAATGCATTGGCACAGTTGTTCAGAATAAATGGGGCAGCTTTTGCTGTAACATTTCTGAACTCCAGCAGGCATGAGTTGCCAGCCTTGCTATTAAGGGCCTGTGGGGAGGCTATTTCCCAAGTTTTTCTTTTTGAGAAGAAAAAAATAAAATTGTCACACGCAACCGTAAACTGCTCACTTGTGTCCTCTCTGTGGGATGTCAGCCCCTCCCCCAAGTCCCTTCAGCATGGTCATCCAGCCTGCTACCATTTGAGCCAGCAGAAAGGGAAGACTGTTTTCCCGTGACCAATCTCTAGCAAATAGTACCACCCCTCTCTTCCCAGTCAGTGCTGCTTCAGTATGAGGCTAGAGGACACTGTACTGCCGGGAGAGGGGCAAGGGCTCAGGAGGGGGCATTTTCCTCCTTGCAGTCAGTGCTGGCCCCCGAGAGGCACTTTTGGAGGGAGCAGAGCTAGGGGGCTTGCCCAGAGCAGTCAGTGCTGGCTTTGATGCCCCAGCACAGTGCTAGGGGGTGCTATGCACAAAGCTGGGGCAGGGGGTTGGGGTCTGGGTACCGTAAACAGGTTGTGGAACCTCATGGTGGGTCCTTAATAACAAGCATCTGTGCTTTTTGCTCTGTGCAAACTGCATGGCACAAAGGAACCACCTGTGACCCCAGGATCCCACTCACCAAGTTTACTAACTCCACCCAACATGGCAGGCTTAGCTCCAGCCACAGAGCTGGTTTAGCCAGGGTCTGAAGCAGAACATGGTGAGCACTAGGAGAGGACTCAACTATTTGGAGCTACAGATT